TTGGTCATCTGCAGCTGGATTGGAACTCCCTCTTTCTGCGTGAAGACGGGTCTTTTCTTTTGGGAAATTTTGGGAGCGGCGCTCCTTTCGGGGAGAATCTATCTATCTTAAGGGGCATTGTTACAGTGGAAGCAGACCCTAACGTTATTACAGCTTTCACTCTAAGAGGATCATTTAGCCCTGAATGTAAAACAAACATGTGGAATCTCGGGCTTTTTCTCTACCAAATGTACACAGGAGAAGACCACCCCTATGGAGACGTGAGAGGGCAGGATTGGATGGATCAAGTAAAAAACATATCAGTGAATATTTTGGGAGATGGGACACGTTCTGACGTTCTGATGCCGAAACTGAAAGCTGCGAAAGTCCCGAAGAGGTGGGCAGAACTTATTGTTCGTCTGCTGGAGCCCCAGAGGGGCTACAGGATTGGTGCCTTCCAAGTCATCAGGGAGTTTCCAGACCTCATTGAAAATATTTCGAACTAAACTCTCAGCCGGTTGTAAACANCCAAGTCATCAGGGAGTTTCCAGACCTCATTGAAAATATTTCGAACTAAACTCTCAGCCGGTTGTAAACAGCTTATTCAGCAAACATAGCTGTCGAGGGCGGGGTTCTTGCGAAGAGAAAGGACCCTTTTTAGCGTGCGCGCACCTGCCGGTTTCTCGTAAGCGAAGAATCAGAAGACCTTGCGACTCAATGCGCTCAGAATTGCCTAGCCAATTAAAAATATATTGGCACGTTCTAGATTTGAACGAGTGAATGGACGCACAACCAGATACTTTGCAGGTGCAACATTGGGGGGCGTGCTTTATCCCAGCGGACGATGGTCGACATATATTGTCAGGTTCGAAACTCGGGGGCAGCACACTCCCCGCATGTCAATTCGAGTCCAAAGGTATCTGTTCGAACAGCTCGTTGTGTGTGATGTTTCAGTTGCAGTGTGCCTGCTTATTGACGCGGCTTCACGGCGTGCTCTTAGCCAGAGGTAGCGCCTACCATTGCCTTTATTGAAGCCACAAGGGGCCTTCGTTACATTCATTGCAGAAAAGAATTGTTTTTTAATCGTGCCAGTGTAGGCGTGCGGGTTTTTGTGCGGATTTTTGCGTGTACTCTGGGTTCAGAGCTGTTAGCCCGCACTTGACGCTGACGTCTGACATACCCAGTGATATATATACCCCCCCATATCCTCATGCACTGCGTAAAAGCGCACTGTGCTTTCAATTTCTCGTAGTCACTCTACGAGCTGTTGCCTTCGCGATGGTGGGCGCGGTCGAGTGCACGGTAGCGTTCAGGCCCTCGACCTCTCGTCAGCCTAGCGAAATTATAAAGTAGGATTAATTTGCTGATAATGGACTGGAGGGGGGGGGAAAGCGGTGTTTTATTCAACTCTGCGGTACGCCTTGGTGTAGCACCACGCCTTGGTGTAGCACCGAGAGTGTGCGCTGTAGCGCTGGGATGGTTGATATAATAAAAAGAGCCCCAGGCGGCATCACACACATGAGAATTCTTCAAACTTATTACACTGCTAACGTTTTAACCTTTGTCTCGATTTAATATTGCGTCGATCTCGCACATGTGTTTTAAGCTTCTTCTTTCGACTGTGGGTCCCCTTACCGCTGAAGCCATCATTTCTATTCGGCGCAGCCTGTCTAATAACGAAGAGGCGTTTCGTTCCAGATGCCTCTCCATTGAAGAGGGGGAAATACTCCATATGCAGCAATTTCCGCTAGCTCAACGGCTTTCTAGTGTTGGCGAATGTAGATCGATTATTTTTGAGAAAGCGTCTAGCAGCCGTACAGCGAGATGAGAGCCACATGTTGTAGCCCAGTGAGCGTTTCAATCCTCCCCTTCTAGCAGCCGCAAATGCTCTTAGCATACTCTTGACCGCGGAGGTTCGTACCTGCATTCTATCAATGAGTTGCTTGAACGCATTGCTCTTCGGCGAGCTAGCCACTCCCATATGCAAACCCCTCCAGATACGCCAAACTCCGTGCAAATACTCCGGCTCCATGGGAATGAACGGCGCCGAACCGGATTGTTGGGGTGAAGAGTGGGACCGCTGTGGAATGGCACTCGTGCAAGGGTACTTCCACTGGCCCGCAGCTGACTCTGGCCTTTTGGGAGGCGCATTGGCTATGAGCACATTTTGGAGTGATAGAGTAGAACGGTAGATAATGCGACGCAGCACGTTCCCAAATCATTAAGCGCAGATAAAGCAGAAGAAACTACCGCAGCAATACAACTGGGGTGCAGCAACACTGACCGGAAAACGCCAGAGTTCTGGCTTTATAGGTTCGCATGCTGCAACACACAAGATCCGTGGAAAGCCTATAGTAGCCGCAATGCCCCCTACATACCAATACAGAGTGGTTGCGGTATACGTTGTGAAACCAGTATGCTTCCCAGTACCCTGCAATGCTGCTACGCACTTAGGAGCAGAACTGCTCCTGGGGGACTCGCTAGCGTTGCACCTGGAGCTCCTGTTCGTTAGCTGGTACTGTTAATACAGCTCGTGGTCCTAGCAGGCTAAATTGTTGGCATTGTGTTTATCCTATATACTGGTCACCGCGAATTTACGGAGTCGAGCATTTTGGGACTTCGCTATATACGCCATGCTATGCAGTTCAGGCAGCACGTCAGATGTAGCAAAAATATACGCAACAACTGCAGGGATGAAAATGCGTTTCATCATATTAGTAACAACAATACTCCCTCCCCCCGATCAACCTACCGGCAGCAACCAGCCCCACCACACTCTAGCTATATGAAAAGGGAGGCAACAAGTCATTTCAAGCATTAACTGTTTGAAGACTATAATATCTTTGTAATATATTAAGAGGCTACAGGCGAAAATACTGTAATTTTGTGCAAGATATTAAGAGCTTACAGAGCGGCCTTGCGTCTGGTGCAGTAGCTATGCGCAGCACTGCAGCGGTCTGCATGGAGTTTCGCTAGTCGAATCCTTCGCCGTGCAGAAGATCGAACTTACCTCGCCATGAGGAATGCAATACCTGCATTCTTTCTACAGAACTATCACTGATGAAGGAGTAAGTTGTATCACACAGGAATACTTATCAGAAAGGCGTATGGGCCAACTGAAGTTGGCCGCCAGTCTTTCAAGGTGGGGCTTCGCCGGCTTCCCGGGCAGGCAGCAGCATCGCTTACACTTCCTCCTTGTACGCGGACACCCATTTTTTATTAACTCTAAATATATCTTGTTCAGACTGGCGCAGTATAGAGTCTGCCCTCCTCTGGCTAGCTTTCCTGCAAGCCCCCACAGACGCCGCTTCCCACAATCGACGGTATTCTAACGGGTGAAAACCGTCGTTATCGGAGAAGCGTGTAGAAAACAAGTATTCTTTCATTTCTTCCTGCTGCTTTCTTCGGAACATTGTGGCATATGGAGCATCTACAGACTGATTTGCCTCGCGCATAGCCAGTGGTGAGACCAGTGGCTCTTAACAGCCTCGCTCAAGAGGCACACCGCCTTGGGGATGCACTACTGCATAGGATACTTTCACAGTTGAAGATATTCTGGATAAAGGAGTGGAAATAAAGGCAGCAGGGGGCACAAGTTTGTCCCCTGGCACGGTCCGGGGTAGGGAGAGAGTGACCCACTCCAAACGAGTAGCAGCAGAAGTAACAAAAAAACAAGCAGGGACGGAGCAGCAGAGGCAACTTGGGGTTTGAAGAACCTCTTCCATGAGTGGCAACAACGGACCCGGAGCGGGGGATCCGCCCTCTTCTCCTTCTGCTCCTTCGACTCAGGAGCCGTCCGTTTCTCGGCATTTGCCGAACGTTACAGCAGCAACAGCAGCTGCATCACAAAGAGAAACCACACTAGCCGAGAATGCTGAAACAGGAAGGAAAACGGGAGGACTTTCAACAGCTGCAGCTGCTGCAGTAGAGAGAACGGCAGCACAAGCCGCTGCTGCCCAAGCAGCCGCTTCCTCTGCAAAAGGAGCAGCGGCTGCTGCCCAGGCTGCTCTCGCTGCCGGTGTAGTGGCCCACG